ATCATCTTTTAAAATTGCTTTGTAGTGGTAGAATTTATAGCATGGTTGTTGTTTTGGATTGCACAGGTATTCACTTGTCGTGTCCGCCTCCTGTGAGGCGCCGAGGATACTTCCTGCCTTCACAAACTCTAAGAGACAAAGGGCAACATTTCAGGGTGATGCCAATGCCCTCTGCCCTGAAACAGGTGGTGTGGCACACTGTGATCTCGCTACACATGTGGTACTTGACATAGCCTTTTTTTTTTTAACCGTATGTACTCGTAAACAAATACTACAGACTTTACGAAGTTCATCCTACACTGTAGTGAAAACACAGATTTACAACTACCATTTCCAGCAGCTTTGAGGAATTCAGTAGATAATAAAAAAAGGACTCTGTAGGCTGATCAATATATTTATATGATGTGTGTGATCAAAGACAAGGTTATTTAGTGCATGTTGTGTCTTCCCAACTGTCTTTAAGCACGTCCTAAAGAAACACAAAGATTCATCATCTTCAATCACCCAGGCCATTGGTGTGTGATTGTAAACACTCCTCAGTTAGTTAGTGACCACACAACCTGTCAAACACCAGCTGACCTGCCACTGGAATATGGTGATCCATCTACACTGTTAGGCTTTACAGTATCATAGTCCAAGTATAGCAGCCGACCAATTGACCATCAGTTTTCATGACTTGGTTCAGAGTCTTCTGTGCAGTGTTGTGTTGCGACTGTTCATGCGGAAAATCCCCCAGAGGGATTTGCTCCTTGAATTGTCAGCTGTACCTTCCCAACTTCCGCAGTCACCTTGCAGCTACTGACTACCTCATGCCGCATTCGTAAGGCAGCACAGATCACATGTTTTCCTGACAGCCATGAAATCACACCCACACATTATCCTAATTACTCGTGGCACTCAGCCAATCTGAACAATAAGGGTGATGAGCAAGGCAGAAACGAACCACAGCCACTGAAGGCCCAGCTTACTGCTACTGGTAGATCATAAAATATAATATAACATTACGTTATAATTGATATCAATCTACAGTTGTGTCCCACACTACTTAATGTATCATGTGAGGCAATTTGCGAGCCAGAATGACTCAGTGATCTGTGAGCCAAAATGATGAGCCGGAACCTGCAGCCTCAGGTGCTGGTTCTCAGTAGGACCAGTAACAGTCTCAGTCCGTCAGTTAAATGGCTTTAATGTTGGTGTGAAAAGTTTTGCTCAGTGCAGCTTGAGGCCACAATTTTTCTTTTGTCCTGTATTTGATGGTTTTCCTTGTTGAAACAAGACAAAAGATTTTTTTAAAGAGTAAAACTGGAAAAGTAAAAGGCGAAGGCAAATATGTAATTATCTGTTTAGATTTTTTATACTATATGTCATAACATGGATAATTGGCTAGCGAGGTAAAACAACTGCTACTCTTCTGTTGCTTTAATTGCATTGTATATTAACTAAACACAGTGCCATCAGCTTGCCAACACCAAAACCTGCTCACCTTATTCAACAGCAAAAAGCCCCTTTTTCCTTGTTTTACACTTTCCAATATTAGCTTTAGAATTAAACTCAATCACAACAAAAGTGTTCACATATTTTCATGCTGCAATTTAAAACACTATGTGATACATGCATTACTGTGTCTTTCCAAATTGTTTTATTTGTACACACAATGAAAATACCCAGATCACTGCTTTAAATTTCAGGGCACTGCTTCACTGTTTCACTGTTTCACCGAGCACCCTCAGCTGTTCGACAGAGGTTTGTCACTTGTATGCAGGTTTGGGCTTTGTGGTCAGGACACATGTCTACTCTGTCTACTCTCACTAAGGCTGAGCATGCCTTGTGTTGAACACACTGTCACACACACCATCTGTTACCTCCAACACTCCTGGCTTGGACAAACATGGTTATGAGTAGGTAATGGTGCGGACAAAACTTGTGACCTTGACACTGTCTCCTATGTGTGATCAACAGAGGGAGAGAGAGGTAGATTGATGAGAGTCAGAGGCCCTTTTGATTTTGGTTTGTGTGAGAAAGGCAGTGGAATTCCACGTTGCCTGGAAACATGTCGAGAGAGATGGAGTCTTTCTCTGCCTCCCTTATCTTATTCAACTTCAAAGATTAACATCAAATCACCTCACTCAATAAACGCACTGTACATTCTCTTTTTCTGACCTTATGCTAGACATCAAATGCCATTACGTTATTGCTTATTCCACATGCCATTTTCTCCCTTGTTTCCCCATTTGAATGCTACGTTCAATCTCACAACCAAATATATGAAAGTACCTTTTTCCAGATGTATTATACCTATTTTCAGAGGTATAAACATCTGTTCTGTCTTGTGTCCAAAAGTGAAGTGTCACTGAGACTGGCTTAGTCGAAGATGATTGGTATTTGTGAATATAACTCATTTCTATAATGTATAGTGTTTATTCAGGGTATTATAATTTGCAAACATACCGGTTCGATTTGATGCATCACACATAAAACATTTTCAGTGCAGCGAGAAAGCATCTCACATTTCATCTGTTACTTAATAAGTAATATCCAGGGCTTCGCAGTGGACCTTTGAAGAAGCCATTTAGAGTGTTTTCTCTGCAGAACAACACAAAAACAAAATCAGTGATATACACTTACACATAATATAGTGACGAAACTGAAGGCGTCATCTCAGCTCCTCACAGCAACAGCACTGCAGATTTTAAACTGAATGTGTGGTCAATTATTCATGTACTTGAGAACCTTAAACAAGGAGATACCATATATATATATATATGAATAAATATGCTGGCATAAAAGACGTATGTTCTATCTTCTATAATGCTGTATTCCAAGAACTTAAAGTTGTGCTGGTGATGTGTATCCCCATGTGTTAATGCAATGCTGGCAAAGCATAATTTCAGTGGTTTCAGCACAGCATGTGTTTCATTATTCTACAGTGTAATGTTAATATACTCTATCAGACTCTTCATTGTGACAGTGCCACTTGATGATGCTCAGTAATCATCACATGTGTCATTGTCACGACTCAACATACCAACCCTTGTTTACATTTGAGTATTGATGTTACAATTAATGCTTCAGGTCCATCATCGTTTCCCTCTGAATTCTCTGAGGGAGGAGACGTGAGATTGATTCTAACATGTCTTTTATTGTAAGTTCTGGTGATGAATAGCAGCATTACTGTGTATGAAGCCATTTGGTACAATTAGCACTAACCATGTTCTTGAAGTTTCCTTCTCACATCATTAAAGTTCACCTTGATCGATGTTGTAAGGTTATTAACTTCCTGAAAAGCCTATTTATTATCTCCTCCTTGCACCTCTGAGAGAGAGGACGTGCAGTGGGTTCAGGTCACGTCAGCAAAAAATCTGAAAAACAGTCATTGGGTGACGAGTTACTTAAATCCTTCACCGTATTGTAGGGTGTAGTGCTTTTTTTACTTTTTACCCATTTACCCAAAATGCCACTTAGCTGTTCCTGCACTTCAGTTTTGTTAACAGCTCGCACTACTGAAGCATAACCAACAAGTTATTGAGAGGAAAGCGGCGATAACTGAGCTGCTAAGAACAACCTGACAGGAAAATTCGACTGAAAACATCATTAACTGATGGATGAGATCTATCCAATGTTTATGATTGCGTTCACTTTACACCCCTTTCATATAGACTCGATTTAGCCATTGTCCACAATTATAATTTGATCTACTGCTGTGAACACAGTGCCAAAAATGGTTTAATTTCACCCTGTGGATCAATAGCAGCTGATCCAGCCCATCTCATTCCCATCTCACAGCCAGGCACTGCATTTATAATACTATTGACAATATTGAGCAGTATTGACGAAAGGCAGGGTAAGCACCTCAGGCAGTGGGCAGGAATGAAGTGCCATTTCTTCACAGCTGTACACCTTTGTAATAGCCTTTTCAACCTGAAATCCCAGCCAGTAAAACTGGAGGGCTTTGTTTAAATTATTTTACTCAACAGCTATTGTGGTGCATGAAAGGTTATGGTTGATAGAATTAGAAATACAGAAATATTAATACAGAGCAGATCTGCAAGACAGAGGAGGAAGCTTTGTTTGTTGGACAACAGTAAGTGTGCATGGTACAGTGTCCTGCTGCTGCACGTTAATAAAATGTTAAGACAGATGAGATGAAACAAAACACAGAAACAAGAAGAAAAGGACATTTAATGCTTTCTTTTTTTTGGTCATTTGTTAATTGATCAGGACAGACATCCAATTAAACACAATTAAATGAAATGCACCAGAGGTAGCCTAATGTTCATAAAAAGTGACAGAAATGAAACTGGAAATGGAAAAAGCAGCAGACTTTCATACATACTGCTCATGCTACAGACTCAGTCTAGTGAATATATTAGCTGTTTGTGTTAAATTGCCGCCCAGGCAAAATGGAAAGAAACACTAATGAGCATCAGGATCACCATCCGATTGTCCAGATGACTACTGCGTTCCAGTGTTCACGTCTATTGTGCAGGCTATGTTATATCCGCCGGTTAGTTTCTCCCAGGGCAGCGGAGTGAAGAGGAGGGGCTGAGCTGTGCTGCACCGTTGGAGCTACTCACCTCTGACTGAATCCCATCTCCACCTTTCATCTCGCAACTTGTCCCGCGCGAGGATGGATGCGTTTCCCGGCGGTCGGACCCGGTAAAGTGTCAGAAGAATGCGGTGGGGCGGAGGAACCGTCAGTAACTGGAGTGTCTTTGGGCGTCGGTGATGTTTTCTATTGGTGACTGCAGAAATTTCCAACGTGTCGGCGAGTCGACAGACCACTGCTCACTGGTGCGCTCTTGGAGAGGAAGAACGGACATGTGAATGAGAATGATTTCCTTCAAGCGGCTGATATAAACTGCTTCGGTTGTTTTAGTTCACTAACTTGAAACAGCAAATTGCCACAAAGTCTCACAAGTGAAACAGGACTGATTGATTAATTGATTGTTGTTTTTTTCGCTTGAGGAGGAATTCATGCGCCGATAGCTCACGGGGCCAATATGCCAGAATGGGTCCTCTACAGTATTTATTTCTCTGTGGACTTCTGTACACCCAAACCGACGGTAAGTTCATTAATACATCTACAACTAAATGTTTTGATTGAAAGTGTGTCTTGCCCCACATTAAGCATTAGCAAAGCACGCTGGGCTGTGACCTGAAGCGTATTCGACCCATGCTCTCATCAGCTGAAGCGCACCAAGAAGACACCGAGTAGCTCGGTATCCCACATGATTTACAGTGGATTTACTGTTCCTCTTGAATTCGTGTGCGAAATCACAGAAGGCACCTGCGTGTCAAAGCACCAACGCGCCGTCTCATAGTTGGTTACTTCAGTCTAGACATTGAGCCAGGCCAAATGTGTAATGGCATAGGTAGACGGAAGTTGTTCTTTTATTCATAAGGGCTGCCTTAATTGAACACATTTGTTACTTGAATAAAATCTCTGACAGTTTTTGAAATGGCCATTTTTTCCCCACGGATATTGAAACATGTTTGTAATGTGAGTTTGGAAATTGAGTCCAGATAGCCACACTCAACTTTTCTGTGTATTCCCAAAAGAAATAGCCCTTAAATCATGATTTTTAATCAGTTGGGCTCTTTAAATCTCACATGCTGCTTGTCTTGTACATATAGTGCATCAAAAGTGTTCCAAACCTACATTTTGTCAGATTGTGCAGTTTGCTTTCATTATTTCCATCTGTCATATTCTGTGTGGCCTAATGCTCAGGTTGCTTAGACCGATGATGGAGCTACTGTAGGTGCCACAGCTGAAATGTCTAATGTGCCATAGAGAATATGCTTACTCATATTGTCTGGAAATCCACCCCTGACTGTTTGTGTCTAGAGGTTACTCATACAATACAAGGACCTGCTGTACAGATGCAGCTGCACCTAAGAGACATAAGATTCTTGACAGGAAGTGTTGTCCTTATCACTAGGAGTTTTGTGCTACTTTTTTCCCTGCAGCCCACAGACCACAAATCTGTGTCAGTGGAGTAAACGTAGAGTAAGGCGGGTGTGGATATGGGTGGTTTCAGGACATTGGAGCTACTTTGTGTATTTGGTACACCACATCCATGCAGTCGAAAGCGAGGCAGTGCAACGGCTCAGTTTATGTTGACTTGATGTCAGGGAGGTGTTGATTGTGGAGGGCTGCTGCTGACAGGGGTTTCTAATGTTGTGTCCGTCCCACTCTCCATACATGTGGGCTGAATTAATTGCAGGTGTGTTGCTTTGGTTTGTGTCAGACTCAGGCAGATATACAGTGGGACCACATACAACGATGGTTTCCGACCGTCTGTAGCAACAATGTAGGAAATCTGTGATCTATTATAGAGGAATACTGTGTACAGTACCATTGATGATACACTGACAGTGTGCCCATCCTCACTACTTCTATCTATGCTGACTGATTTCAAATGTGCAGGGCTCAGACTGAATTCGTGGCATCTCAAACTTAATTTTAAAAGACAGAAAGACTTTTGTTCTTTACTTATGAGTCAAATGAATCTTTAGGTTATAAACCTGAACTCAGTTCCTGTGAACTCTACTAGTAGAGAGATGTACCCCAAAGTCACTTTTAGCAGCATGCCCTGCTTACAAGCCCTGACAAGTTCCTGACCAGTAGTTTTTCTGCAGGGAAAGTGTTTTTCTTCAGTTCCAGCTTCAGCACCATGGATAGAGCCTCATAAACAAAACAGGTTTGATGCTTAAGAGAAACATCTCTGGACAAAAACAGTATTCTAAATGCATCTTTACCAGCAATCTTTACTTTCAGACTCCAGCCAAATTATCATTGCCTTTATAACCTGAGCAGTTATCAGTACAGGACTAATCAGCTGTTAAAATGTCAACATTTATGTCTTTCAAATCCTTCATTTTCTAGCTAACTTATTGGTATTCAGAGTCATGGGTTTCTGGAGCATGCTCTGAGCAAAAAAAACAAGCAAACCCCCTGGATGGGTTGCCAGTCCATCACAGGGCTAACAGACTGACAGGACCCCGCAGGACCTTCTTGTTGTTATGACAGTACCAACCACTGAGCCAATGCGCCACCCACAACTTAAATCATCTCATTTAAATTCTGTTGTTTGACAGCATAAAACTCTACATTAGCACAGCGGAGACTGGGTAATGGGACAACCAATTATTAGAAGTCGGTATGCTACAAACTCCATGTTTTTTTTTGTGTGTTACTGTGGATCCGCACAAATGTTATTTACACTAAACGTATGTATGGGGTTTTAAAAGCATGTTAAAAACATAATGCATCACAGTGGTTTGGTGTGTTGGCGCCAGCTAATGGAATTCTTTTTGTCAACAAACCTCTTAACATTATAGACTGTCGCATCAATTTTACTCACATTTTCAGCTTCATTCCGCTCACTGTGTAGCAGCCAATCATCATGGTTGCCTTTTTGCAATTTGTCACCATCAAAGGCAAAAAATTACAAAATATACGGGACTGTGTATCATTATTTTTATTTATTTATCTTATTTATTTCATTGCCTCTGTTTTAGTGACTCCAACATCACACTGCAGGTTTGTTTGCATGCACGCAACAGAGGAAGAAGAAGACCTTTTAAAACATATATTTTAATGTGCTCATACACCATGAAATAGATGTAGAGTTGTGATGCTGTTATATCTGTAAACAAACACAGTGACACTACATTTAGGTCATTCCTCTGTGACATTTCGAGGTGGAATTTATGGAACAGCATTGAATTGAGCTGAGATGTTCACGTGGCCAAAGACTGAGCAGAGTAAAGGTTGTTCACTGGGTTGCGGTTACACAAATTATGACAATACTCTTATCAGGGTTGTCAGGATTAGGCGTTGTCATGACATTTGCTGAGGATTCGCTATCAAACACTGCGGTTACAATCTAAATATTATGCTTGTTAATATAATGAGGTAGCCTTTAAGGAGGAAAGAGAATTGTTATAATTTGCATATCTACACTATTACAGTACAAAGTGAAAAAAAATCCAATGTAGCAGTTGCTGTTAATACACCCACCGAGACATGTTTGATGATGTCAGTGTTTGATGGAATGTGTTAATGAAAAAACTAATGAGATGTAATGACTCCTCAGCTCCTGTCTGTGAGAGTAAATATGTGAGCCTGGGTGTAGTATCATGGCATAAAGTGCTGTCAGTAAGAAGCTGACACAAATCAACTTTCCTTTCAATAACTGAAATTAAATTTGTACTTATTTTATATTCGTATTTACAAATCTGTGTAGATCTATTCTTTAAAAAGCAGTGAAAATATAATGTAAGTTAGAGATGGTGTTCGTTAGTTCAGTGATATGGCTCAACGTTACCTTCTGTCATCTAATTGTAATCAACAGTAATATGGTAATTAGCAGCTCCCTGTCTTTGATTGTTTCTGTGGCATTGCTTTGCTGTTGTCTCGCTGATCATCCATAGTTGCTCTTGCTGTTCATTCTAACTAAATAGTTAACTGAGTTCATTCTCAAACATCCTGCCGTTACTGCTGCAGAAAAATGTAAATATCCTACATTATTTATATGTGTGTAAATATTGCTTTAGCTATTACTTTAACAGGATTTCTTTACTCCCTCGTTTTCCTCTAGGGTCTCGTCTTCGCCAGGAAGACTTCCCTCCCCGCATCGTGGAGCACCCCTCTGACCTCATTGTGTCCAAAGGGGAACCAGCCACTCTCAACTGTAAGGCAGAGGGCCGTCCAACCCCCACGGTGGAATGGTACAAAGATGGGGAGCGTGTTGAGACGGACCGTGACAACCCCCGCTCCCACCGTATGCTGCTGCCCAGCGGGTCCCTCTTCTTCCTACGTATCGTCCACGGGCGACGGAGCAAGCCCGATGATGGCAGCTACGTGTGCGTGGCCCGAAACTATCTGGGAGAGGCCGTAAGCCGGAACGCATCTCTAGAAGTAGCATGTAAGTCTGACTTTTCATCATGTCCCTGCAGGCACAAAGGTAGCGCCCTGGTTACAGGATTCTCACTTTTGCACGACAGAAGAATGGGGAAATTGTTGTGCAGCATGTATTGAGCTTGGTAACCTTTTGTGAGTATATGAAAATGTGGTAATGTCACATTTGAAAAAGGTAGAGTTTATGTTAAATTAAGCATAAGATTTTGGGGCTGTTGTGCTAAGGCATCCATATATAAGATGTCATCTGTCATAATATGAGCAACGTCACCTATCCACTGAACCTACAAGTGTGTGTGCGTGTGTGTGTGTGTGTGTGTGTGTGTGTGTGTGTATGCTTTGCTTGTGTGTGAATATGTTTTCAGACTGCTAGTGAGACCTGTTTGGATGACCTGTTTGAGTAATGTATGGGCAGAGCTGTGAATTGCTCCAGGGAGGGAGAGAGAAAGGGGGCAGGATTTTAACCTAGCTAACTCCCTTTCACTGTTTGGATTTGGAAAGCAGCAGCCTGCTCCCAGCCAGTTCTCTCCCTGTGTGGGAGATAGGCGCTCTGGGCTATTCACATTTCCATTATGTGCTAAACTGAGCGGATTTCTTGCCATGAACAAGATGCACACACGCTCGGACGCACACACAGATATACATGCATGCACACTCAAACACCCACACTGTCTCCCTTTGCTCTCTGTTTCTCACTCAGATGTAGTACACAAACAGAAATTAGGGAATTCCAGGGAAAGATTAAATTTACTAAATATTTAGGAAACATTGGACCTAATGACTCGACTGTGATGTATTACATATTGTAATTTGTTGTAATAAGAATTGAAAGGGACTCTCTCCAATATAATTATGGTGTTTATGGTGCTGTTGTAACTTGTGCTGCTTTGCTTTGGGAAATCATGGAATAGGAAGAAAAAAGAAAATAACTGAGATAAGAGCCTTGAACCTAATAGCAGCTCAGTCGAGACATTATCTGAGATCTTTGTTTCTTTCTGTGCACCACATCCTCTCTTTGTCTTATTGCCTTTTCCATATTAGACACTTGTATTTCTATTGTCTCCTTTTACTGGTGCTGGTTCCTCTCCTTTCTCTCAAATCAATAGTGGTGAATTGTCCTGGAAATACTAATGCTTGAGAAGATGCTGGGTATTTGAGAGGACCTGGAAATCTGCCTTTAAACAGGAATGTGTGTGTGTGTCTGTGTGTGTGTGTGTATGCATGTGTGTATTTACAGTACATTGTGTTATAGGATGTAGCATTGGCTTTTATGTATAAAATGAGACATTGTGGTGTTTAATATTCAGTTGATTACTATCTAGAGCTAAAGCTACTATAACATTATCCCTGCCTCAGTCTAATCAGAATTTATTCTGTGCTATACGTGACATTTACTGTACATCGCACATCTTGAGCAGCGCAGTTATGTTTGAAGATAGAGAATAATTCTCTCTCATAACAAAACCAGAGACCCAAAACTGTCGTTACAGTGTCAAGAGACAAATGTTATAGCTGCTCCACTGACTCCCTTGACTGAATAGAGGCCGACTTTATGAACACAATGACTGTGTCAGAGTGATTTTGTGGGGATTTTGTGGTTCTCCTTAAAATACAATCAAGCTCATTTGTATTTTGCAGCTCAAACAGCCATTCTGAATTCATTTTCTGAGTTAATTGTCACATTCATTGTTAATGTAGGAGCTGCAATTACTATAAGAAATCATTTTTTCTTCTCTATTGTTGGAGGAGAGGTGGGCTACTTATGGGTCAGCAACACATACATTATGGGGATGAAATAACACACAGCATATATTGTTGCAAGTGTCAAATACTAAACATACAGGAGCGAAATCTAAACATCATTAAATAGAGAATATTCTCACATTTTCACCCCGGAGCAGCTTTAATGGTCCTTGAAATGCTGTCATATGAGTCTTTGACAAAAGTATTGTAGCATGCGGGATCATTCTTGAGGCGTAGTTTAAGTTTCGTCATGAATTAGTTTGTATTTTTCTATGTGGCTGGGGATTGTACCATCTTGGTGCATGGGAACACCCTGAGGGATCAGTGTTTGCACAGTGGAGTGCACCTCATACTTCAATATGTCTCTGTATTCCTTTGCTGCTATATGACCATGCAGACCAACCGTGGGACCTAAATGCCCCTCATTTCCAGTGCACATTAAATTTCAAGTGCCTTCTATTTGACCTCTGTGGAAACTTGTGATTGTCAGGTGTCTTTTAAAACTGGATGGCCACACAGTCTGCAGGCTTTGCAGTTTTGTTGCTTCAAATTTAAATCCCCTTTTTCAAACCCCATGTATTTTTGATGTTGACTACCTAGTAGCAGAAGCTACTTTGAAATGTCCTGCTCACAACTTTACCCACAAATGAAGCTTTTTCAGTGTTGATCTTGTTTGCTAGTTCAAATAACAGACACTAACCCGTTTTGTTCGCTGTTGTCTCCTCTTTGTGCAGACAGTGTCAATAGGTTGTTTTTCTGACACTATGACCAAGGCAGCCTCTAGTTGTTTCTGTGTAATTCAGAATATCATGGCTGCAGGGATGAATAATTGCATGACTCCTTCAGGGGGCTGCAGGATCCTGCCAGTATTGCTGCAGCCAAAGTTGTCATGCAGTGCTGCGGGTGGGAGCAAGCGGGTAGATGAAAGTGCTGTGGGGATGCTCTGACAATGAGCCCAGCTCAAAATGGTTTGTTTCCTTAGGAGTCCACACACATCCTCAAATTTTCTAATGGGCTGTAGCATTGTATCTCAACCAGTGGTTTAGAAAATGTAGCTAACTAGAGGGGTGCTGCTCCCTCGGGTACATTTGTGCTGTACAAGCTCAATTTTGGTGATTCGTCGTGCATTTTATGAGCTTCAGTCTGACTGAAATTTGAAGGGGCATTATTCATTCCATGTGATGCAAACACTTCAGCTGTTTCAGATGGTGGCAAGGATTTAAATATGTAAATTATGCAGATATGCAAGATAAATCTACAGCTGGCAGCCTGGTGAAAAAATAAATAGAATACCTCATAACATTTGTTTGTATTATAAATTGACCAAGCCTTACTAAAAAACACACTTATTCCAATACAGTTGTTGTTCCATACACGTTGTAGAATAGAGCTCATGACAAAGAATCAATACACAGTAACGTAGAAAAGTCATATTGTATGCCTTGTGTTGAAGGTGGTCTTCTGATCTGACAGCAGGTACGATGGGAAAAGGCAGAATACACTGGGAAACAAGCAAAATACACCCAGAATGTCAGTTTTCCTTAAATCTAAAGACATGATTACATTTACTACACCATGCATTGATTTCCTCACTCACATCTACTATCACATTGGTTTAAGTTCTTTCTTACATCAGGACAGTATTAACATACATTAACAAGGTTATTTCATCTTTCTGAATGTGGACGCCTGCTGTAGACTTACAGATTTACAGAAGAAGCTTCAGAACATTCAACACATAGCTTGCTTTAGTGGAAAATTACTGAACAAACCCAATGCAGACTCTCAGAGTGGGAGTAAGAAAGCCAAATGGAAGACAAAAGAAAAGAAGCAAGTGTGATCCAAGGCCATCAGAGGAACATGTACTACATCAGCTGTTAGACCGTCACTGGGCACAAATCTGGAGTATTTGCAACCTTGTTGAAATTCTATTTCCTGAACAGTCTTGTTGGGTGAATATTTGACACAAATGATAACATCAGCCATTTCACCGAGAAATGAGGCCATGTCTGTTTATTATTAGAAGGTCTTGCATTTTTCCTTGATAAACAAGACTCATTGTGTTTCTGGTAGTGTTGCAGCATGTCACTTGTTTCTCACATCCAAGTATGTAATTTTAATAATCAAGAATCACCTGCTGTCAGTGTGTACAATCAAACTCGGCCAGCCACTGAGCCAGCTTTTCACATCTTCAGTTTGTTTAGTCAGATGTTGCAGCTGAGCGCTACTTCAAGAGCCACGTCAACAAACAACTGTGCGACCTCCAGGCCACCAGCGGACTGGCACTAATCATCAGAGTGAGTGGCTGTTGATGGAATTAGAACAGCTCCCTCAAACGATTAAGAAAGGACAGAAAGACATAAACAGCGATGTGTTGAAGGGAGGTGTGGGTGGAGGGGCGGCAGATACAAGAGTGTTCATTAGTACAGAACTCCAGTACAAGATGAGTCCCCCTCTGTTTGACTGTGCTAAGTGAATTAGAAGTATCGTCACTCACTCACACAATCATCAGTTAAACCCTCCCTGTCACGAGCAGCCAACAACATAAGCAGCTGCAATGAGAAATTAGACTCACTGGACAGTTGTTTGAAATTTCAGTAGAATGAGTAGAATTCTACTCCACTGCTAGAAGTGGGGATTCTATGATCTACAAAAAGGAGCGTGTAATAAATAACAAATAACTTCACAAAGAACCTGCCATGCAAACAGGAAGTAACACAATTTGAATTGAGCCTAAACCAGCAGACTTACTGCAGATGTTGCGACTGGTGACACGCTCATAATGACAATGTTAACATTACAATGTTTAATAGCTATAATTTCACTATCTGAGTTTAGCATGTTAGCGTGCTAATGTTTGCTATTTAGCACTAAAAACAAGGTACAGCTGTAGCTGATGAGAATACCATTAGCTTTGCAGGTATTTGGTCCATAGACCAAGAATTGTTCAAAGTAACAATTTGTCCTGTGAATGTTGAGATATTTCACAGGGTAAATGAAACCTTTTTCCTGCTGGTGGTCACCCATCTCATTAGGATCACGAGTTTCCATGTGACAATCCATGTGATATCTCTTACGATACAGACTGATCAACAGACAGACATCGAGCTCTGGCCACAGAAAATGATATGATGCGATGAGCTAGCCTATATCATCTCACTGGAAATGACTCACCACTCTGTTGGGCTACGAAATCACACAATCCATTCACAATCTTGAAATGAATGATGGTAGATTTAGAGAGTGGCTATTTCTTTTTCTACT